AGGGGGGGTTGGGGGTGGGTGGTGGGGGGTGGAGATATTACTCAGCAGGGAGGAAGACAGGGTTGTTTGTTTGTAAATGATTCCAGAAAAGATCCGAAACTATCTCCAAAACCTTAAGTATAAGTTTTAATTTTTGGCAAAGGTCAAACTCACTGATCTAGTCCTTTATCTATTTAGAATTGTTCTTACATAAAAATGAAACGCAAGAGTTATTACATATTTTAAGTCCATATGAACGGGCTATGAAGAAGCATATTTTTCATATTCCTGCTGAATTTATACAGGTATTTGCTGATATTTATGGGTAGTTCTAACATTAAGGCTATGCTTTTGACTGAAGCGCCATCTGTAGGCAAAATGAGGAATACTTTAATAAATGAGAATTTTTGAGAATTTTTTTATGTTTGATAAATCAATCATATTTACCGGAAAAGCTCTGTGGGTAAAATCCTAATATGCATGTAACTGCATCTTTTACTTTTCATTGTATTTTTCTTGTGTTTCAGAACAATTTGAACATGATTGTCCATTTATTTACCTTTAGTACAACTGGTCATATGGTGAAGTTAAATGTAAGCTTTGTTTGATTCCATAGATAGACGAAACTGAATTTTATATCGGTGCTTTCTTACATCGTAAAGCTAGTAAATGGCCGAGTCAATCAATTCACATTTAAAACAGTGACTGGATTAAGATAGCACATTGCTGTACCATGTTTTCAAGCATAACATACACAATTAATAGGTTTGAGTTGTTTTTGGATGCTGTGTACAGCATTCATTGCGGTCTTCGCCAAGCCTGGGCAAATCAAAACCAAACAATAGACTTTCTGCTTCCGCGGAAGATCTTTAAATGCTGTGTAGATTATTTTATGGTATGATTAATGCTATAAAATGAGGAAATACATATGAAAACGATCAATAAATCAAAGAGAAAATGTTCAGTGAGCATCATGAACTATATCAATCTCAGATTACTACGCTTTTTGAACCGAATAATTTCTTCACAAAAAAACAACAACACTTTATCTCCTTACGCGAAAGATCTTTAGATAATGTGTTCATTATATCATGATACGATCAATGGTATAATATGGTAAAATATATCTGTATAAGACAAAAAATCAAAGAAAATATGTAAAGATCTTTAACAGTGGCGTTTATAATCAGTGAAAGTTCCGAACTATATTTGGTTCAAATTACTACGCCTTGTATTCCAATACTCTTAAGTGTGTGTGTTAAAGTTTTCTCCCCTTGTCCATCATTGCGTAGTTTCATGCTCGCGACCTGTTGAACGACTGTTTGATAATTGACCTTGATAATGTAGGCTTCGTGTTTTCTTTGTCTCAATGGAAAGTCTCCAAGTGAAAGAGAATGTTGACGTATACTAAAGTAGCCGTCAGCAGCTGTGCCTAACGAGTTTATAGATAGCTTCCCAATGCGACAGCAGCTGTGCCTAATGAGTTTGTAGATAGCTTCCCAATACAGTCTCTAGATAATGGCCCGATTAGTATAATACAAGTGCTTCGTGAATATAGCATATTGAACATCAAAAATTAAAACCGTATATACATATTATTCACATTTACCAGAAACTGAATAATTATATAGGTCTTTAACCTTCGTTACAATATCGAGAGAAGGAGAGATACACAAGCGACTTGCATTAGTCCGTGATTACACGCACTGGGAAAAGATCATTGTCTGTGCTCTGTAGCAGCTTCATTACACTAATTAAGGACCAGAATATCAGACAACTTTCAATTTCAGGGCTGTTGGGTCAAGGTCATCGTTTCTTATTTTTATACTGCTAATGGTAGCCAGTAAGGGATCTATATTGTTTTAGCAATACTCTGCTTGTTTTATATATTTTTATTGAAAATTATAATTAAGGGATGGGCTATTTTGACCCTTACTCAACAACATGTTCTTTATTATTTACTGCCATTCTGTACTGATATACCATCTCCTTTATTCCATTATTTGAATCCTTCACACACAGCATCCCTGAGTGCCCTCGGCACTTTGATTAGATAAGTTGCGAATGCAAATTAAAGAAACACTTGAATAATGTTAAGGTGGTTGTAATCGTGCGATGAGACATAACGTCTCTAGTGCCGGGTTTAATATTGCTATACACAGATAATAGTTATAGACAGTTTGTGACAAAAGTACGGTGGCCACTGAAGTAGATTGTTATCGACTGTAAACACGCGTCTTTATGGTTACTCGAATGCAGCCCTCACGTGATTATTTTTATCATTTTCCTCTTTAAAATCTACTGCTTTCCGATAAATGAATTGGAAGACAAAAACCTACACCGACAGGCGGAGACTAAGCCTAAACGGAAGCTCGAGAACTCACACATATTATACATAAAAGCTAACTCAGAAATTATCATCCCCTACCAAACCGTCAGAGGCGAACAAAGGGAAGTCATTTGCCACATCCTGCCACATTTAACACTGTCAACTATTGTCCCTGTTAGTCCCACAAACTAACATGATTTTATAATTATTATTACATATTATGTATTGATTTTCATAGTATCAATTAGTAAAGGAAATCACTTCATAATGTCCGTCAATTTTGCAAGGTAGAGTACAAATCCTCTGGTGCAAAATCCTTGCTTCGCTAACAAAACTTTGTTATTTGTTCTACTTTAGGTTTTGTTCCTGTCCTTCATGACTCCAGTGTCCGTCTTCGTTGTGATATTCCTAATATGTTTGCATAGAAAGAGACGAATGTTACGGTGCTGACGATGCTGAACTTGTTATTTGGATTGGGACTACAATTCTATAAATGTTATAACTGTTATTTATGAAATATTTATATGTATAGATACATTAATGTAAAAATCGCATGGCTTGATAATAATTTTGTTTTTGATAAACTTATAATGCAATAAAATATTTGAATTATATATAGTTTGAATATTTCATTGTGTTTTTCTTGGTTTCTTTATATTTTCTACGTAGTCAATTCTATTATGATTTCCCGTTGATGAATCTTGTTAATAATACAGTTTACAAGATTAATCAAGACAAACAGAAGCCTTAAAAATGTTAACCAAATAAAAAATATATACAATTTCTAGATAACGCAATTATACATGAGTATCGTTTTAACTGGCTGGATGTTGATCAACTTTCCATAATAGTTCGTAATATCTTAACTAAACTAAATAAATTTTGCAATAACTAATAACATATACATACAAGATATTTCGTGGGTATGGTCTGTTTTTAAAGGGTTTCGCGTATAATCAACATCTAAAGTCTTTTAAGGACGTGCCTCTCTATGTGTATTACACAATGTATTATCAGTTCATGCTTGTGTGTATGTATGCTGGAGGCAGAGTATGTTGGTGTGCTTACCTCCTTGTAATAGTGCAGATCTTATGCCGACTTCATAGTGCTACCTCACTGAAATACCAGGACGAAGGCACCTAGGACAGCATTTTCGTGGGACCCAAATGTCGAGGTTTACCGACAAAACACCATTTCGAGGGGACATGAGCTCTTGGATTACGGGCACCCACTCAAATGGAGAATCGCTTTATATCAAACTTGTAACTACATCGTTGACCTACGAATTCGTGGATGAAAATAACCCACAAAATAAACGAAATTTAAAAAAAACCCACGAAAATTAGTGATTACACAGTTCTCATGCTGGCTAAAATGGATACAATATTATTTAATACTTGCATAAAAAATATATCTTTTAAGTTGAAATCGTTATCAATTATATTTCATTAAAATGTAGTTAGGTATATAGGGACAGGAGACGTAAGATAAGTCCGGCTCTATGTTTCTGATTTATTACAGCGTAAATGCAGTAGATAACATATCTTTGCTGGACTTCAAACTCGAACGAGTAGATAAAGATCTCACACATATTAAAAAGAAATAACACTGCATCATACAACTGGTTTGTCCTCTTCAAACTTATCTGTGATGCTAGGGGCCACAAAGCTGGAAGTTCAATGCTCTCAACTACTGTTGAAAGAGAGAAATACAAGCAGATCATATAATCCCTAAATATATTTATTTGAAAAGTTAAAGAAGGACTGGTTACAGAAGGCCTCAGATATAAAAATGACATTAATAATTTACATTGGTGGCGTTTCATACAAAGTAACACATGTAAGTCATTGTGAAAAATTATTTTAAATTAAGACCTGTATTGAAGTATAAGTCTGCAACATGATGACCATAGGGTATTACTAACTTGATCTAGAACGAACTCCTCAGTCTCTAAAACTCGTGTGAATAATTTCACAATTTTATAAAGGCTGTTTTTTATTTGTCTATATGCCGTTTTTAAAGACTTTAAAATGGCATCTAGACCAATAATATAACATCAATAATAATAAAAAGGAATTTTGAACCCTAAATTGGACTATAATAGTGGCTATAAATATGTAAACAACCCAAAAGCCAGAGATAAAGTAATTGAACTTATAGAAGAGTTGGGAATGGTAGATATATACAGAGAGCAACATCCGGAGCACAAAAGATACATTTGGAGGAGAAGTAACCCTGTTAAACAAGCTCGTTTAGATTTCTTTCTTATTTCAGACAGCTTATTACCAAGTCTTCATTATTCAAATATCGAGCCAGGCTATAGGGTTCCTATAATTGCTTTAAGATTTAATGAATTTAAGAAAGGTAAAGGATTATGGAAGTTTAATAATTCACTCTTGTATGATGTAGATTACCTAGAACTTATTAATAAACTTATTTTAGATATTAAAAGACAATATGCTCTTCCAGTTTATCTTTTAGAAAACATCAATAAGATTCCTGATTCTGATATACAATTCACAATAAGCGATTTTTTTTTTAGAAACACTGTTAATTGAAATTCGAGGCAAAACCTTTTACCACTCTTCATATAAGAAAAAACAACAGAATTTAAATGAAAATAATCTTACATATACTATACGTAAACTAGAAGATAGTAATGATGTTGATATAGATAAAGTGAACGAAAAAATCCAAGGAATTACAAAATATCAGATTACATAAATTAAAAGGTAGAATAATTCGATCTAGAGCTAAATGGGTAGAAAAAGGTGAAAAGCCAACAAACTATTTTTTTAACCTAGAAAACAGAAATTACACCTCGAAGTTAATACCGATGATAGAGAAAGACAATGGCGATAAAATAACAAAGCAGGTAGAAATTCTTGATGAGGTAAGATTTTTTTATGAAAAATTGTATACAATTGATAATGATACAGAAGATGTTCATATAGATGATTTTTTAAAAGATATTGATATTCCAAAATTAAGTAATATAGAATCTAACAAACTCGAAGGTATAATTACTCTTAATGTAGCTTCAAATACTTTAAAAACTATGAAAAAAATAAAAGCCCAGGCTCTGATGGGTATACAGTAGAATTTTTTAAATGCTTTTGGAAACAACTAGGTACTTTTATAGTCAAATCAATTATTTTTGGGTTCAATCAGGGCCAGTTATCAATCACACAAAGACAGGGCATAATTACATGTATACCTAAGGAAGGTAAGCCTCGACAATATCTAAAAAATTGGAGACCAATTTCTTTACTTAATATTATTTATAAATTTGCATCAGGATCAATAGCTAGCAGAATAAAAACAGTTTTAAATAAAATAATTAATACAGATCAAACAGGATTTATTGCAGGGCGCTATATTGGGGGAAACACTCGAATTGTATACGATATCATGCAATATGCAGAAGATAGGAATATACCTGGAATGTTGTTAATCATTGATTTTGAAAAAGCTTTTGACTCTGTTTCTTGGAAGTTTATTGATGAAGTTCTGGATTATTTTAATTTTGAGGAAGATATAAAAAAAAAAGTGGGTCAAAATCTACAAAAAAAGTAAAGTTCAGCATTTAATCAAGGGGGAAATTTGTCTCCATTTTTCGAAATTGAAAGAGGCTGTAGGCAGGGGGACCCCATCGCACCATATATATTTATAATGTGTGCTGAAATTTTAGCTATTAGAATAAGGAACAATAAAAATATAAAAGGTATTGATATTGATAATAGTCCTATTTTACTGTCTCAATATGCGGATGACACTTCACTGATTTTAGATGGAACAGAGAGATCACTTAAAGAATCAATTGATGAACTAAAAACTTTTGCAAAAATATCTGGATTAAAAATAAATGTATCTAAAACACAGGCTATCTGGATTGGGAGTAAAAAATATAGTGATGAAGTTGTGTACCCTGAATTGAATATACAGTGGGGAAATCAAAAATGTGTACTTTTAGGCATTGAGTTTCATGTTGACCTACACCGAATACCTAAACTGAATTATGATAAAAAAAACTAGTTAATATAAAGGCCCTTATTAGAACTTGGGAAAGAAGAATTTTGACACCAATAGGTAGAATCCATGTAATAAAGGCACTATTAATTTCTCAGTTTAACCATCTCTTTATCTCTTTACCAAACCCAGATGAGAATTTCCTGAAAAGGTTAAACACAGAACTGTACTGTATTTTATGGAAAGGTAAAATAGATAAAGTGAAAAGAGATATAACTGTTAAAAAATACATTGACGGAGGTCTAAAAATGTTACATGTAAAGTCTTTCATTGAATCTCTAAAGTTAACGTTAAGGAGACTCTATACAAGTCCAAGTAAATGGCAAATTATTCTAAGAACTTCTGTTGATGATCATATTTTGGCTAACTGTGGAACTTAGTATATTTCAATATGTCACAATAACTGTAAGAATTTATCTTGGAAAGATGTTTTTGAAGCATGGATAAACTTATCAAATAAACACTATTCATATCAATCTCCAGATAAATTGGCCAAAACACCAATATGGTATAATAATATAATTAAAAAAGATAATCAGAGTATTTTTTATCGGGATTGGTACAATAAAGGAATTATTATAATTAGCGATTTAATCAATAAAGACACTCATTTGTTTTACTCTTTTCAGGAATTTCAACAGGTCTTTGGTATAAATACAAACTTTCTTAATTACCAAGGACTTATTTCAGCTGTTCGAAAACGTATACAGAAACAAGATTTACCATGTCCTATCTATCCTTTCATACCAATTAATCTAGAAATACTTTTCCGCAGTAAGAAAGGGACACAAGATTTTTTATTATTTACTCAATAAAAATAATACAATATCCACTGGAAGAAAAAAATGGGTTGATGTTTTTAATTTTGATATTGAAACATGGAAGAAAATATATAAAATGCCTTTTCATATAACCAAACATTCAAAATTACAGTGGCTTCAATACAGAATCAATCAACACATTTTGACAACAAACTCATTCTTATTTAAGGCAGGAATAGCTGATAGTCCTTATTGTAACTCATGTAAAACTGATATTGAAACAATAGAACATACCCTATGGGAATGTGATAAGGTGCAGGTTATGTTACAAAATTTTGAGTTTTTATTAGATGCCTTAATGATCCCTTTTGCTTACAATAAGGAGACTTTTATCTTTGGACTATATAATCAAGATGGAATAAGAACACCAATAGACAGTACAATTATTTTGATTATGAAACAATATATTCATTCAGCAAGTTGCCTACAAACCAATTTATCTATAAATGGTCTTAAAAAAGCAATCAAGGACAACTATATTACACAAAAATATATTGCAACAGGTAAAGATGACAAATATAATAACACTTTTAAAAATAATTGGAAAAAATGGCAAAAGTTAATTAATATCTCCTGAATCTTCAATTTGCTGAACTTTATTTTAAGAATACTGTTTACAGTTATGATATGTAATATTATTTGACACTAGTATATGAGTTGTTTTGTATCCATTTTTCCTATCTATAAGACATCAAAATATTTTGTTTAGCTATTACTATACATATATTGACATTT